AGAAAGGAGAGGAGAGGAGGAAAGAAGGAGAAGGATGGAGCAAGAGAGGAAGAGGAAGGGAAGAGAAGGAGGGACGATGGAGATGGAGAAATCAAGGGGAAGAGAAGAAGGGATGATGGAAATGGGAAATTAGAAAGCGAAGGAGAAAGTGAGAAGAATGAAGATTAGAGAGAAAGAGAGAGAGAGAGGAAGGGAAGAGGAGGAGGGATAATGGAGATGGAGAAATGAGAGAGAGAGAAAGGGAAGGGAAGGAGCGATAATGGAAATGGAAAAATCAAGAGAAAGAGGATGGTTGGAGCAAAGAGGGATAAAGAGAAAGGGAAGGAGGGATGATGGAGGTTGAAAATGGAGAGGAAGAGGAAGAAGAAGAGGGATGGAGTCAAGAGAGAGAAAGAGGAAGAGGAATGATGGAGATGGAGAGGTGGAGGAGAAGAGAAGGAGGGACAATGGAGGTGGAGAAATAGGGAGGAAGAGACAGGAAGAAGGAGAAGGGTGGAGCAAAGAGAGAGAAAGAGGAGAAAAAGAGGAAGGAAGAGGGATGGTGGAGATGGAAAAATCAAGGGGAAGAGAAGAGGAGGAAGGAGATGGATGGAGAAAGAGGGATAAAGAAAATAGGAAAGGAGGGATGATGGCGAAATGGAGAGGAAGAGAATAGGAGGAGGAGAAAGGATGGAGCCAAGAGAGAGGAAGAGGAAGAGGAATGATGGAGATGGAAAAGTCAAGGTGAAGAGAAGGAGGAAGATGGAGCCAAGAGATAGAAAGAGGAAGAAGGAATGATGGAGATGGAGAGGTGGAGGAGAAGAGAAGGAGGGATGGTGGTGGAGAAATGGAGAGGAAGGGAAGGAGGAAGAAGGAAAAGGATGGAGCCGAGAGAGAGAGAGAGAGAGAGAGAGGAGGAAAAGAGGAAGAACGAGGGATGGTGGAGATGGAAAAATCAAGTGGAAGAGAAGGAGGAGGAAGAGGATGGTTGGAGACAAGAGGGATAAAGAGAAAGGGAAGGGAAGGAGGGATGATGGAAAAATGGAGAGGAAGAGAAGGAGGAAGAAGAAGGATGGAGCCAAGAGAGAGAAAGAGGAAGAGGATTGATGGAGATGGAAAAATCAAGGTGAAGAGGAGGAGGAAGATGGAGCCAAGAGATAGAAAGAGGAAAAGGGAATAATGAGGATGGAGAGGTGGAGGAGAAGAGAAGGAGGGATGATGTAGGTGGAGAAGAGAAGGAGAAGAGAAGGAGGGATGATGGAGGTGGAGAAATGAAGAGAAAGAGGAGGAAGAAGAAGAAGAGATAGAAAGAGGAAGAAGGAATGATGGAGACAGAGAGGTGGAGGAGAAGAGAAGGAGAGATGATGGAGAAATCAAAGGGGAGAGAAGGAGTAGGAGGAAGAAGAAGGGGAGATGGAGATGGCGAAATGGAGAGGAAGAGATGGAGGAAGAAGGAGAAGGACGGAGGAAAAGAGGAAGAAAGAGGGATGGTGGAGATGGAAAAGCCAAGGTGAAGAGAAGGAGGAAGATGGAGCCAAGAGGTAGAAAGAGGAAGAAGGAATGATGGAGACGGAGAGGTGGAGGAGAAGAGAAGGAGGGATGGGAAGAGGAAGAAAGGGGGAGAGGAAGAGGAGGAAGAAGGGGAGATGGAGATGGTGAAATGGAGAGGAAGAGACGGAAGAAGGAGAAGGACGGAGGAAAGAGAAAGAGGAGGAAAAGAGGAAGAAAGAAGGATGGTGGAGATGGAAAAGCCAAGGTGAAGAGAAGGCGGAAGATGGAGCCAAGAGATAGAAAGAGGAAGAAGGAATGATGGAGACGGAGAGGAGGAGGAGAGATGATGGAGGTGGAGAAATGGAGAGGAAGGGAAGGAGGAAGAAGGAAGAAGGATGGAGCTGAGAGAGAGAAAGAGGAAGGGAAGCGATAGAAGGACGATGGAGATGTAGAAATCAAAGGCAAGAAAAGGAGGAGGAAAGAGATGGATGGAGCCAAGAGAGGGGAAGAGAAGGGGGAATAATGGAGATGGAGAAATGGATGAAGGAAAAGGATCGGGTCGAGAGAGAGAAAGAAAGAAAGAAAGAGGAGGAAAAGAGGAAGAACGTGGAATGGTGGAGATGGAAAAATCAAGGGGAAGAGGAGGAGGAGGAAGAGGATGGTTAGAGCAAAGAGGGATAAAGAGAAAGGGAAGGGAAGGAGGGAGATGAGAGGGAGAAATGGAGAGGAAGAGATGGAGGAAGAAGGAGAAGGACGGAGGAAGAAGGATGGAATCAAGAGATAGAAAGAGGAAGAAGGAATGATGGAGACAGAGAGGTGGAGGAGAAGAGAAGGAGAGATGATGGAGAAATCAAAGGGGAGAGAAGGAGTAGGAGGAAGAAGAAGGGGAGATGGAGATGGCGAAACGGAGGAAGAAGGAGGACAGAGGAAAGAGAAAGAGGAGGAAAAGAGGAAGAAAGAGGGATGGTGGAGATGGAAAAATCAAGGGGAAGAGGAGGAGGAGGAAGGAGATGGATGGTTCAAAGAAAGAGAGAGAGAAGGAAGAAAAGGAGAAGGAGTGGAGGAGGAAGGAAGAAGAAGAGGGAGAAGGATGGAGCCAAGTGAGAGAAAGAGGAATGATGGAGATGGAAAAGTCAAGGTGAAGAGAAGGAGCAAGATGGAGCCAAGAGATAGAAAGAGGAAGAAGGAATGATGGAGATGGAGAGGTGGAAGAGAAGAGAAGGACGGATGGTGGTGGGGAAATGGGAGGAAGGGAAGGAGGAAGAAGGAAAAGAAAGAGGAGAGAGAGAACGAGGGATGGTGGAGATGGAAAAATCAAGGGGAAGAGAAGGAGGAGGAAGGAGATGGATGGAGAAAAGAGGGATAAAGAGAAAGGGAAGAAAAGGATTATGAAGAAATGGAGAGAATAAGGAAGAAGAAGGATGAAGCCAAGAGAAAGAGGGAAAGGGAAGAGAAGGAGGGATAATGGATAATGGAGAAATCAAGGGGGAGAGGAGGAGGAGGAGGAAGAAGAGGAGGAGGAGGAAGAAGGGATGGTGGAGATAGAGAAAGGAGGAAGAAGGAAAAGGATGGAGGAAAAGAGGAAGAAAGAGGGATGGTGGAGATGGAAAAGCCAAGGTGAAGAGGAGGAGGAAGATGGAGCCAAGAGATAGAAAGAGGAAGAAGGAATGATGTAGACGGAGAGGTGGAGGAGAAGAGAAGGAGGGATGGTGGATAAATCAAAGGGGGGAGGAGGAGGAGGAGGAGGAGGAGGAGGAGGAGGAGGAGGAAGAAGAAGGGGAGATGGAGACAGAGAAATGGAGAGGAAGAGATGGAGGAAGAAGGAGAAGGACGGAGGAAAAGAGGAAGAAAGAGGGATGGTGGAGATGGAAAAGCCAAGGTGAAGAGAAGGGATAGAAAGAGGCAGAAGGAATGATGGAGACGGAGAGGTGGAGGAGAAGAGAAGGAGGGATGGTGGAGAAATCAAGGGGGAGAGAAGAGGAGGAGGAAGAAGGAAGGGGAGATGGAGATGGAGAAATGGAGAGGAAGGGAAGGAGAAGGAAGGAGAAGGACGGAGAAAAGAGGAAGAAAGAGGGATGGTGGAGATGGAAAAGCCAAGGTGAAGAGAAGGGATAGAAAGAGGAAGAAGGAATGATGGAGAGGGAGAGGTGGAGGAGAAGAGAAGGAGGGATGGTGGAGAAATCAAAGGGGAGAGAAGGAGGAGGAGGAAGAAGAAGAGGGAGAAGGATGGAGCCAAGTGAGAGAAAGAGGAATGATGGAGATGGAAAAGTCAAGGTGAAGAGAAGGAGCAAGATGGAGCCAAGAGATAGAAAGAGGAAGAAGGAATGATGGAGATGGAGAGGTGGAAGAGAAGAGAAGGACGGATGGTGGTGGAGAAATGAAGAGAAATGAAGAGAAAGAGGAGGAAGAAGAAGAAGGATGGATAGAAAGAGGAAGAAGGAATGATGTAGACGGAGAGGTGGAGGCGAAGAGAAGGAGAGATGATAGAGAAATCAAAGGGGAGAGAAGGAGAGGAGGAAGAAGAAAGGGGAGAAAGAGAGAAATGGAGAGGAAGAGATGGAGGAAGAAGGAGAAGGACGGAGGAAAAGAGGAAGAAAGAGGGATGGTGGAGATGGAAAAGCCAAGGTGAAGAGAAGGAGGAAGAAGGAGATGGATGGAGACAAGAGGGATAAAGAGAAAGGGAAGAAAAGGAGGGATGATGGAGGAGAAATGGAGTGGAAGAGAAGGTGGAAGAAGAAGGATGGAATCAAGAGATAGAAAGAGGAAGAAGGAATGATGGAGACAGAGAGGTGGAGGAGAAGAGAAGGAGAGATGATGGAGAAATCAAAGGGGAGAGAAGGAGTAGGAGGAAGAAGAAGGGGAGATGGAGATGGCGAAATGGAGAGGAAGAGACGGAGGAAGAAGGAGGACAGAGGAAAGAGAAAGAGGAGGAAAAGAGGAAGAAAGAGGGATGGTGGAGATGGAAAAATCAAGGGGAAGAGGAGGAGGAGGAAGGAGATGGATGGTTCAAAGAAAGAGAGAGAGAAGGAAGAAGAAGAAGGGGGAGATGGAAATGGAGAAATGGATAGGAAGAGACGGAGAAAAGGGAAATAGGAGGAAAAGAGGAAGAGGAATGATGGAGATGGAAAAGTCAAGGTGAAGAGAAGGAGGAAGATGGAGCCAAGAGATAGAAAGAGGAAGAAAGAATGATTGGGACGGAGAGGTGGAGGAGAAGAGAAGGAGGGATGGTGTAGAAATCAAAGGGGAGAGAAGGAGGAGGAGAAGGACGGAGGAAAAGAGGAAGAAAGAGGGATGGTGGAGATGGAAAAGCCAAGGTGAAGAGAAGGGATAGAAAGAGGCAGAAGGAATGATGGAGACGGAGAGGTGGAGGAGAAGAGAAGGAGGGATGGTGGAGGTGGAGAGAGGCCGGAGCCCAAGGCAAGGTTTTCTGGGACAAAATGGCCTCACCGAGGGAGCGATGGGGAGGGGGATGCTGCAGAGAAGGAGGAGATGCCGAGCCTCGGAGGGAAGGAAGGCAGGCGCACGCTTACCTCTTGTGGTACCCAAGGACGTGGTGGAGAGAGGATGCTCCGAGGGATGCTGCTGAGGAGGATGCTCTCTGCCTCCTCCTCTTCTTCCGCTGCTGCTGCTGCTGCTGTGAGCGATGGAGCAGGAGGGGTCCAGGAGGGGCCTCAATGCTGCCGCCAATGATGAGGGTGGTGGTGCTGATGATGAAAAGGCGAGGCGGCGGCAGCAGCGGCAAAGGCACCCACAGCATCAGCATCACCCGCTGGCTCGGCCATGGGAGAGTCCATTCTGGAGGGAAGGGGAAAAAGAAGGGATATGGCACATCTATCCATTCTGAGGTTCCCCAATGAGGGAGCAGCACCTGCAAAGAAAAGCAATGGGATTTATAGTTCACCTACAATCAAACAGCATCCTGGACTACACCAACGATGGGATTGAGCCAAACCTGCCACACAAAACTCCCACGACGGACAGAAAATAAATACGCCTTGACATTTGGGAGTTGTAGTTGCTGGGATTTATAGTTCACCTGCAATCAAAGAGCATCCTGGACTACACCAACGATGGGATTTATAGTTCACCTACAATCAAAGAGCATCCTGGACTACACCAACAATGGGATTGAACCAAACCTGGCACGCAGAACTCCCACGATGGACAGAAAACAAATAGACCTTGGCATTTGGGAGTTGTAGTTGCTGGGATTTATAGTTCATCTACAATCAAACAGCATCCTAGACTACACCAACGATGGGATTGAGCCAAACCTGGCACACAGAACTCCCACGACGGACAGAAAACAAATAGACCTTGGCATTTGGGAGTTGTAGTTGCTGGGATTTATAGTTCACCTACAATCAAAGAGCATCCTGGACTACACCAACGATGGGATTTATAGTTCACCTACAATCAAAGAGCATCCTGGACTACACCAACAATGGGATTGAACCAAACCTGGCACACAAAACTCCCACGATGGACAGAAAACAAATAGACCTTGACATTTGGGAGTTGTAGTTGCTGGGATTTATAGTTCACCTACAATCAAAGAGCATCCTGGACTACACCAACGATGGAATTGAACCAAACCTGGTATGTAGACTTTTGGGGAAATAGATCTTGACATTTGGGAGTTGCAGTTGCAGGGATTTATAGTTCACCTACAATCAAAGAGCATTCTGAACACCAACGATGGAATTGAACCAAACGTGGCACAGAACTCCCACGATGGACAGAAAACAAATAGACCTTGGCATTTGGGAGTTGTAGTTGCTGGGATTTATAGTTCACCTACAATCAAAGAGCATCCTGGACTACACCAACGATGGAATTGAACCAAACCTGGTATGCAGAACTCCCACGATGGACAGAAAACAAATAGACCTTGACATTTGGGAGTTGTAGTTGCTGGGATTTATAGTTCACCAACAATCAAAGAGCATCCTGGACTACACCAATGATAGGACTGAACCAAACCTGGCACATAGAACACCCACAATGGTCAGAAAATAAATAAACCTTGACATTTGGGAGTTGTAGTTGCTGGGATTTATAGTTCACCTACAATCAAAGAGCATTCTGGACTACACCAACGATGGGATTGAACCAAACCTGGCACACAGAACTCCCACGATGGACAGAAAATAAATAGACCTTGACATTTGGGAGTTGTAGTTGCTGGGATTTATAGTTCACCTACAATCAAAGAGCATCCTGGACTACACCAATGATGGGATTGAACCACGATGGACAGACTACATCAACGATTGGATTGAACCAAACCTAGCACACAAAACTCCCACGATGGACAGAAACCAAATAAACCTTGACATTTGGGAGTTGTAGTTGCTGGGAATTATAGTTCACCTACAATCAAAAAGCATCCTGGACTACACCAACAATGGGATTGAACCAAACCTGGCACGCAGAACTCCCACGATGGACAGAAAACAAATAGACCTTGGCATTTGGGAGTTGTAGTTGCTGGGATTTATAGTTCATCTACAATCAAAGAGCATCCTGGACTACACCAACGATGGGATTGAAGCAAACCTGGCACACGGAACTCCCACGATGGACAGAAAACAAATATACCTTGACATTTGGGAGTTGTAGTTGCTGGGATTTATAGTTCACCTACAATCAAAGAGCATTCTGGACTACACCAACGATGGGATTGAACCAAACCTGGCACACGGAACTCCCATGATGGACAGAAAATAAATAGACCTTGACATTTGGGAGTTGTAGTTGCTGGGATTTATAGTTCACCTGCAATCAAAGAGCATTCTGGACTACACCAACGATGGGATTGAACCAAACCTGGCACGCAGAACTCCCACGATGGACAGAAAACAAATAGACCTTGACATTTGGGAGTTGTAGTTGCTGGGATATATAGTTCACCTACAATCAAAGCGCATCCTGGACTACACCAACGATGGGATTGAACCAATCTTGGCACACAGAACTCCCATGACCAACAAAAAACACTGAAAGGGTTTGGTGGACATTGACCTTGAGTTTGGGAGTTGTAGTTCACCTCCATCCAGAGAGCACTGTGGACCCAAACAATGATAGATTGGGACCAAACTTGGCACAGATACTCAATATGCCCAATGTCAACACTGGTGGATTTTGGAGACAATAGGCCTTGAGATTTGGGAGTTGTAGTTGCTGGGATTTATAGTTCACTTACAATCAAAGAGCATCCTGGACTACACCAATGATGGGATTGAGCCAAACCTGGCACACAGAACTCCCACGATCACTGGAAAGGTTGGGTGGGCATTGACCTTGAGTTTGGGAGTTGTAGTTCACCTCCATCCAGGGAGAACTGTGAACTCAAACAATGATAAATCTGTACCAAACTTGGCACGGATACTCAATATGCCCCAATGTGAACAGTGGAGGTGTTTGGGGAAAATAGACCTTGACATTTGGGAGTTGTAGTTGCTGGGATTTATAGTTCACCTACAATCAAAGGGCATCCTGAACTCCACCAACGAAGGAATTGAGCCAAACTTGGCACACAGAACTCCCATGAGCAAGAGAAAACACCAGAAGGGCTTGCTGGGCATTGACCTTGAGTTTTGGAGTTGTAGTTCACCTACATCCAGAGAGCCCTGTGGACTCAAACAATGATGGATCTGGACCAAACTTCGCACTAATACTCAATATGTCCAAATGTGAATACTGGTGGAGTTCTCTTGTCCCTGGTTGCAGTCAGACTTTGATTTTGGATTTCGATATCCTGGAAGTTTTCTATGCACAATCAACAAAGGTCTTTGTTTACACATCAGAGCCAATTCTGTTGTTTAGGGAAATTGTGTGGGAAAGTTATGACAGAAATTCACGGGAAAAGGAACGATTTCATGGGTGTCTATTAAGCAACAAGTTCTTCACCTTAAAGTCAGTTCAGGCAACGCTGCATTACAGTGAGGAGCTAAGCCTGAGTTCTCTTGTCCCTGGTTCCAGTCAGGCTTCAATTTTGGATTTCAATATCCTGAAAGTTTTCTATGCACGATCAACAAAGGTCTTTGTTTACACATCAGAGCCAATTGTGTTGTTTAGAGGAATTGCGTGGGAAAGTTATGAAAGAAATTCATGGGAAAAGGAACGGTTTCATGGGTGTCTATTAAGCAACAAGTTCTTCACCTTAAAGTCAGTTCATGTGCCGTTGCACCTGAAAGAGGCATGGGCGTGACATCTTTCCCCAAGGGATTGCTTCTTTCCCTCCTTTAGTAAAACTGGAACTCCCAAGCACCAAAACACTGTAGATAACTCAAAATAGGTTTTTATTGTTCACAAAGAGTTATCCCTTCCAACTTAAAGGAAAATATACATTACAGTCTCTGGTTGTCTTGGGTCCAAGGAGTTTTGCAGCTGAGAAGCTTTTCCAGGTCCCTCTTTCTCAATGGCTGTGAATGCCGGAGCAATCCACAACCCCAGTCCAAATGGCCTATGTTTGAAGACACAAAGCCTTCCTCTGGTGCCAAAAGAACTGGTTTGAAGGCACTTGAGACTTCTCAACGTCGTCCAAGTTGATCTGAACATGAAGCATAAGTCTCAAGGGTAAGAACCTCAGAATTGGTGCTGAGAGGTAACTTACTCAAGGGCTTTTAGAGCCAAGTCTCTCTCTCACGTCCATCTGATAGAAAGTTTGATGGTGGAATGAAAAAGGAAACACTGTGCTGCTCCAGGAAGAGGTGGAGCCAAACAATTGAGCTGAGGGAGCAATTCAACTGGTGCAAACAACATTGATTGACAGCTGCAAATAACCAATCAATCCAACTATACATTTACAAAATAAGCAAGTATGGGCATGTTACACAGTTTAAACCAGTGTTTCTCAACCTTTTGAATGCCATGACCCCTTAACACAGTTCCTCATGGTGTGGTGACCCCTAACCATAAAGTTATTTCCATTGCTACTTCATAACTGCAATTTTGCTACTGTTATGAATTTTAATGTAAATATCAGATATGCAGGATGTATTTTCATTCACTGGACCAAATTTGACACAAATATCCAATAAGCCCAAATTTTAATACTGGTGGAGTTGGGGAGGGGATTGATTTTCTCATTTAGGAGTTGTAGTTGCTGGGATTTATAGTTCACCTACAATCAAAGAGCATTCTGAACTCCACCAACGATGGAATTGAACTGAAACGTGGCACACAGAACTCCTGTGACCAACAGAAAATACTGGAAGGGTTTGGTGGGCATTGACCTTGAGTTTTGGAGTTGTAGTTCACCTATATCCGGAGAGCACTGTGACTCAAACAATGATGGATCTGGACCAAACTTGGCACGAATCCTCAATATGCCCAAATGTGAACACTGGTGGCTTTTGGGGAAAATAGACCTTGACATTTGGGAGTTGTAGTTCCTGGGATTTCGAGTTCGCCTACAAAGAGTATTCTGAGCTCCACCGATGAGAGAATTGAACCGAACTTGGCACCCAGAGCTCCCATGACCAACAGAAAAGACTGGAAGGGTTTGGTGGGCACTGACCTTGAGTTTTGGAGTTGTAGTTCACCTACATCCAGAGATCACTGTGGACTCAAACAATGATGGATCTGGACCAAACTACAAGATCCTCAATATGCCCAAATGCGAACACT